GTATTTATCCAAAATAAAAGAACATCATATTATTTCTATATCCTTTTGTTTTGTACCGGTTAAAAATACATTGTACATCATAAATGTATATATATGGTATTTCTTTTATGCACTACAAAAAGCTCAAACAAAAGACAAGTCTCTCTGGGGTAGCATTACAAGAAAAAGCCTTTAAAATTCATTGTTGCGTTCTTCTTTCCACTGTATATTATTATACAGCTCGTACACGACTGAGCTGAATTTGGAAAAATGAGCTACTTTTTTTTTGCCGTTAGGTACCTAAAGGAATTCCAATAACTATACTCGCTTTGATCTTTAGATCCACCGCGGATTTATAATAAAGGCTATTAGCATTTTTATGTAACCTTTTTTTGGGCAGATATTTTGTTGTCGAAAGCTGGACGGATATTATTTTCAATGACGTACATCGACATGCATGTAAGCCATTAGCGATTTTTTCTGTTCTCCACGAAAAAAAAAATAAGGAAATATTCGAGTGAACTGATTATTTCCTTAGTGCATTTCATCATCGGTCTCTGGTTGGATGGCGGTGGACTTTTGACAAGCGGCTACCCGAGAAATGTAAATCGCCCTTCGAACGCAATCGTTACCAGTGTCGGCCAAGCATGTAAAAATACCCGGAAGCAATCTGTTTTGTCAACTTGAAGAAAAAAAATAAAATTTCTGTGTTGGAAAATAGACGATTTTTTGCTCTTATTCGTGGCATAGAAAGAGTAAGTCACAATCAAAATTAATTTTCTGTAAATACATAAGTGACTGTACTAAACGTTTAAAAGATAATTTTAAAAAAGTTTGGAATTAAGCCACTTTTTCCTGGCATGTTTGGTTTGTTTGCGATAAAGTAGTGCACTGGTATTGCCAAGAAACAAACTAGGTATATGAAAAAAAAAAAATGCGTATGCCCATCAGACTGACACTAGGCAAGTCGGACTCGGTATATAGTTTTTGGCGTTTCTATTACTATTATTAATATTGTAATTCATCGAGTTTATATTATTACTGTTGAAGTACCGTACAAATTCGATTAACCCATCGGTAAATTATAAAGGTGTGGCGTTTGACGTTCGCCCCCCGAAGCGAAATGGCAATTCACATAGTTGACGTGGCCGCTTTATGATTTGATATACCTATATACTGCACCTGTTGCGCTGATTCATCCGAAGTGTGCTGTTGATAAAAATATTTCAGTGGATAGAAAAAAAATATGAAACCAATGCTTTACGATATTTGGCAGTTGTTTAATTTCAACAGTAAATGTATTTATATTTGCCATTACGTTAACCGAAAAATATCCTTTACGGGTGAGTTTATTATTTATTTTTTTTTTTTAAGAGAAATCGAGTGTTCGAGAGAGACGAGCTGTTTGGTTAGGATAAGTTAAGTTGGGTTCGTCTAAACGTTATTGCTACGCTATAACAATTCTATCAAATAGCTTGCCGCACTGTCCGAATATTCAATTTAATTATGATGGTGATGATAATAATAATATTAATAATAATTGTTGTTGTTGTGTTTCGCCATCGGTCACGTTTCCGCTTCGGGTTTCGTACATAGGCCAAGTTTGAAAAATAATTGTTTTGCCAACACAACGGGAATAGCGCACGTATCCCTGATCCCGTTTGTAACTATAACAAATAATTTTCTAAGCCTTTTCCTCCATAACAACCGTGTATACCTGTCTGGTATATTTATATGCTCTGATATTGGATCTGGTACGTGCGCAACAGCTATTCCGTAACAACAGTATATAGTAATCCTCATTCCTCTGATTGAACACACATAAGAGACAGGAAATTCGGCAACATAACGTTTGGTTTAACCCGTATCTTGTGGCCAAGTTAAATGGACATTTCCCGAAAGAATAAAGTCGCTCACTTACTGACAAAGGGTGACTCGACGTAGTAAACGTTGTCGCGGTTAATTCTTAATAAATAAAAATTATTTTAATATTATATATATTTCAGAACGGAACCAGTGTTTAGGAAATAAAATATAAGGAGCGAGGTAAAAGAATAGTTTTATTTTCCAATCTGGCCATTATAATACGATTTCACAACAATCGTTATTTAGGTATAAGTTAGTATTTTTTCAAAAGCGATTTATTTCGAGCCGATCATGCTTTACTTGTCAATGATACCTTTTTCTACCATTACTATTGTCGCGTAATATATTTCTCTTTAATTTCCAAAAGAAATTGAAAAAAAAACTAATGAACAACATCCAATAAAGGAACACATTGGAAATACAATATTTATTTTGCTCTCGTGCAAAGCAAATATAAAGTGATTTATGAAAATCATTTGGGTTATTTTGATTTGCACCACAGCAAATATGAAGAAAAGCAATGAGATTTTTTTTAAGAAACGAATAATATGCAAACCGTTATGGGTAGTCAAGTAGGGATTCTAAGAGGCTTTAGACCCGCCTTTCTTTAAGGTTTGGTATAAAAAAAATTCCTTTGTATTAACGTATATTCGGTAATCGATACTGAAACGAAAAATTGGACCATTTAAGAAAAACCTGAAAATTGATCTTGTTAAAACCTGATCAAAGCGTTATTAGTCTTAGATAATAATAGGATTTTAATTTTAATTCAACTATTTGACTTTGAACAGAGCAAACAGGTTAAGTCCCTGGAATACTATAGCATTGCCGGAACATATAATTTTTAGACTAGCTATTCTATTCACTATCAAATATCAAAATAGCTGTAGGTCCATCTAGTTATAAAGAGTTGCCGTATACGGTAACACGACAGAATGCCACCCCATTGAATGCAATGTTCATTATTATAAATTCCGTTTTAGCCGATTTCGAACGAGGGGACACAGTTATTTCGACTACTTACTAATGGACGAGTAGCGAGTAGTTGTGTTTGTTATTAAAGTCACCGGTGTAACAAAAAAAAAAAATCGTGTTAAAAGCCGTCTGCCGTTGAACAGCACCGAGTAGTATCATAATAATAATAATTATATTTGACTAAAAACAACCGTTATTAAAACACATAATAACTGTACTATGCATACATTACGTTACGATCCAAACGCATTACGGTCGCCACATTAGGTATTTTTATATAGGTGTTGAGTGTGTGTTGGCGGTCATAGTTTAGCTTCATAGCTGTCATACTATTACATATTTTTAATGGCGAATTATACGGTAGTAAAAAGGGCGTCTAACCAACGAGCGTTTTCCTAAATCACAACAGCCGGTCGGATGTGGTGTAAAATAATAATTATTATCATCATATTATTATCCTCGGACCTCGTACGGTAGTTGCCAGTTATTATTACAGTCAAATAACATATAATATATATATATATGCTATGTACGCTACGGCAAATGGATTGTTTTTATGTTTTGGTAAAACGTTAAATGATTTCCGTCGCGTTATAAAATCCCGTCCTGGACCTCGCATCCCTGTAAAAGGGTTGCAACGGCGGTAACACGGTCGGACATTAACAATTGTTGATATTGTACTTGTAAAATTGTTAAACAAAAATAATTTAGCAATAGTCCGGTCCGTTTTAACTTAATCGTAGGACCCGGTATATAGTAATGAAAACATGATGGGACTGACTTGGCATAAACGAAAATGTAAGATGCAACTGAGAAATCGCAGGACATAGATATAGCTGAGGGACCCTCCGTTCCACCTGTTCGGTTCCCATCAGAAAGTTTAAAAAAATAAAAAGAGTGGATTTTTTTGCATGCACAACACGCGTGTTTTTCGCAAGACAACTGGTAGTGTACTTGCGGCAAAACGGGTTTTTGACGGATCGAAAAGAGCTTATTTGTACGTCCTAAACTGCCGGAATGACGCGAATCCGGTTATAATAAAGCGATATTACAATAATATACACAAACAATAAACGAGGCGTGCCAATAGACTATTCCGTAAATATAAAAATAATTAATTAATACGAATAAAAGAATTGTATTGTTAGAAAAAAAAATAGTAACCAATTGTAATATCCAATCGAGTCGTTTGTCGCTGGACTTTTATGCATCCACTCAGAGGTGCCAACAAAATATAACCCTTTCGATTTATGTGATTTACGTTTATGTTAAAAAAATCCTAAGCTATACTCTGTTCTTATTCCGAACAAGGTATACACATTATATTTTATACATGACAATTGTCGTTATATAAGCTACAGGTTCGACGTTTCTGAATGTAAACGACTAGTAATAATAATGTATACATATATATATAATATAATATATAAGCGTGCAGCTATATATCCGCATACAATTGTATCTGTACTTAAAAATAGTTCGAACACAAAACATGTAAATTAAAACACCCTTCTATAGATTGTACACTTTAGTAGGTAAATTATAAGCAATAATTGATGAAATTTGTTCTTTGGGGTATATTAGTTTAGTATGTAAATTCGTTAACGGGTACTTGGATAGTGGTTTTCACATAATACATTTTTTTAATTAATTTTTTCATGTAACGATTATTCAAATGAAAAAAAACGGGAAAAACTCTAGCGGTTTTAATACATTTTTTTTTTCTATACAATTTTAAGTGTTTGTAAGGTTCTACGGTATTGGAGTTTGTTAATTATTCAAAGAATAATATGCAGTTTAAAAAAATCGCTAAAATGTCACATTTTAATAGAATTATATTATCAGAATAGTCCGATAAGGAAAATATAGTTTTTGGGGTTCGTTACGCGTCATTTTGTAGAATTTTACGGTGAACACATTGCCCGTTGCCCCTTGAGAGTTTTCTACAAAAATATAACACAAGAGCCTTATCATATTAAATGAAAAAAGTTTAAAGCTAGTTTTCCGAAAGTTAGATCGGCAGTGGACCCGAGGTGCAGAGTTATATTTATAATACAAAGCACAGGGAAAAGGTTGGTATAATGTATATATATTATATATACATATATATTTGTAAATATAATAAGAAATTCGCTACAGCATAATGTTATTATAATATATGATCATATAATAGTACTTACCGGCGATATCCGAATGCAGGTATGATTGGATGAGAACTTATGTGGCGGCTGCAGTTTCTGCAACGACCGTAATACTTGTGAAGTGAAGATCAACTTGTGGCGCTCGTTTATACTGCTCGCGCCGAAACGTTCGGGCCCGATGGGGGGGTGGCCGGGCGGACCCGAATGCCGGGCCGGCGGAGGGGAAGTGGGCAGGTCGAGGGGACCGGGGAGAGCAGCAAATAGGGGGGATGCTTTTCGTCTATGGGGAAAACTAACGTTGGCCGACCAATCGGAAGCCGTTGATTTCACCTCCCGCGTGCTTAGGACACCTACGTCATAGCGGACCGTGATCGTCACACACCATCGCGGACACGGTTTTTTGATAAGCGAATTTGGCCGCCGCCGCCGCCGCAAAGTTTATAATTGGAATTGAAATTATTATTATTATTGTTATGTATATATTATAATAAACCGCGAATGAATTTTATAAGTCGTCTGCCGCGGCCAGCGTATCTGCCATGTGTGCAGAACTCTTAGACATCAGATGGGCCTACTAGCGGCGACCCTTTCGAAAAGTGTTGTTTTCTTTTCATTAGCGCATCAACCAAGCAACGTCTTTATAATCCCATACCGTCGTAGACGGAGAGCCTGTAGAGTTTAACATCTTTATTATGTTCACTCCCGAAAACTACATATGCCACATTAAACCCGCTGTGCGTTTACAAACGACTTTGGTACACCAAAATTCGTTTGCCATCTGTTTCCGTCTCTTGGCCGTTGCCTACCTCGGTAAGTCGGTGTCAGCAAGAAATACCGTTTGGTTTGTCGGTATCCTTAATTTCCAATTTGAAATTTGAGATTTCGAGTACAAATACACTCGGCAAACGGTACCGACTTTGTTGGCACCACCTGACCTCTTTGTGTGGTTATGCTTCTATTAATGTTTACAGTTAATACAAGTATCGAATAAACAGATGTCACATTCACATGTACCTATTTATTTTTTCCATAAAAAACCACCTAGGGAAACCGTTCCTCGCACGCTATATATGTACTTCAAACGTTTATATGTGCTATAAAAAGTGTTTTTGCATATTCCCGATTCTCATCAGGATTATTTCTCTTTATCGAACAGCTAATCTTTAAGTACTGAACCACACTATATATATATATATTTTTTTTGAAAAACTCATTTATTTTACTTATTCTACGTGCCGTATTTGATATGTTGTATATTATATAATTTTATTTCTTGCAAGCATTATTGATTTTATTACTTTGAACTTACTTTTTAAACAAATTTTACGAGTTGTGATATCCAATAGTATATAATATTATAGTTATTACTTTTGTGATTAGAAACTCAGTGTGTGGCAGTATTGTTTAAAAAACTAATAACGCGGTTTCTAACGGACAGATTTACGGTATGAGAATGTAAAATTTTAATTTTATTAAAAACAATTAAAAACGAATTGGTGCATAGTATACTATTTGTATAAGACTTCCACTATAGAAATAATGTAAACAAAAAGATGTGATATGCGTTGTAGTCAAATGGGTTTTTAGTGAAAAAAATATTAAAGTAATTGGTAAATAATAAACACACAACACGTGATTTAGCTTATAAACAGTTGTAGATTTGAATTGTATGTAATAATTTGTTCTTACCGCTTAATTGATTGGTTATTTTTTTTATATAACAAGTCAAATTTGATTTAAAGGTTTAAAAAAAAAGTCATTAGTTATTACAGGAAACGTTATAAATCTTAATTGTTAAATAATTCAATATCATCAAAAAAGTTTTAAGTTTAATTGGTAAATTGTCATCTGAAAAAAAAAATTCAAATTGATCCATAATAAAATATCTGGATTTGTTATTGTAATATATGTATATTTTTTCGTAAGCAATTTATCAAAAAAGACATGTTATTACCAGTTTTCCACGTTACCACTTATTATTGAAATAATTTCTTGTTGATGAAAAATGGATTGTTAATACACGAACATTTGTATTGTTTTGTTGTCACATGTCGGTTTCGGGTTTCTTTCATCATAAGCGTCGCATCTCAGTCACGTAGGTAGGTATGTAGCAAAAAATACATTAAATTCATCAGTTATTAATTTTGTTTGTTTTTCTCATTTCTATTTCTAAAATAAAAAAAAGGGTAGCTTAGCCGAGCGTAAAGCATTTTAAGTTTCAACTCTTCTTTTAAGTATTGCCACAAGGAGTAATTTTGTAATATGATAAAACCGCAATGAACACGCGTTTAAAATCTTGGATATTTTTGTAAAAAAAAAAGTATTCATTATTAAAAGTAAACTGTAATTCAATTGACTCCAAACAACTATTTAAACAATAAAATATTATTATTTAATATATTCATATACGGAAATAAATATTGTATATCATAATAAAATATCGGGTGACGTGTATCATAATATAGTATTACAGATATGTAGTATAAATGAATATAAATTAAAAAATTATATAAAAATATTATTATCAAATTACAGGACTTAATGAGAAGTTAACGACACTCGTAAATATTATGCTATAAGGTCTCCCTGAAAATAATAAAAATATGTATATTTTGCCAATTTTGTTTTAATCATTTTATTTATACACTTTTTAGTTTTTTTTTTATTCTTTACTAGGGTTTGAATAATAAATGTTCACAAATCACAATATATTTAGCATCAAATGTAATACTATTTAAATACCTTTTATTTTTATTTTCTAAATTCTATGATATTCTTTTAACTTATTGTCTATTTGGTGTAATTACTTTTGTAAATAATTGTGTCTGATAGTTACTGTTTTGACTAAAATAATTTAAATATGTGGTAATTTTAGTAAATTAATTGTGAAAAAGTCGGTCGCCAAACAAATAATTCCATTTATTTATAATGATATTATTTGAAATATGAATAATTCCATTATATTTTACTGTTATTGAACTTTACTGAAAATATCAACATTAACATATCATGAACAAAATCAAGTGCTCTTTCATATGGATGTACCTATTGGTACTCTTCTCGGACCATGTTAGATGTTCCTTCCATTGCTAATCGCAATTTGACTTTAGCATTACAAGTTTACGATAAGAGGATTTGCATAATCTATGAGCTAATAAAGTACATGCAAATGCGACAACCCATCGATACAGTTTCTTTAGCTATAGTAAATCAAAAGTATTCGAGTGTTAAGTGGTATATTTCTAATTTACATAAAAATTGTTTCTTTGTTATGATAAAATAACAGCTTTGTTTAATTATCAAATTCAAAGACAGCCGTTTCTGCATTTAATGTACATATTGACAAATCGTGTTATTATTGTACATTTAATATACAATTAAATTGAATAATATTAATTTTAGAAAAGCATTTTGTACAACATTACTTGTACACAATTTTAAGGAGTGTGCTCCTTAGTAGAATTTCAAAATGAGAGTTTAAAGTAAAAGCAATAAAAACATACAGTTTAAACTTAACAAAATCTTTATGAACCATGAAAGTTACTAGTTGATGTTAAATGGGTCTTAAATTAAAGTCTAGTGATCCCAGGTCCTAATAGTAATCAGCTACCTCCGAATTTACTAAATATTTTTTTTTTGATAAATGTAGTAATAAAGCTATTTTATCTATTTAAAAATAATTTGCTGGTATACAATATATGTAATATCTTAAACTATTTTAAACATACGAGAAAGATATTTTTTATCATTAATGCATACTTGTAGGCCTTCTTACTAATTTTTTGTTATTCTAGTGTTTATATTATAAATTTGACAAATAATTCCTTTTATTTTATAATAAATAATTTATGTTTTTGAACGGCATGAATCCTACATCAACTTACACCGTAAAAGCAATGTAGATGGAACTATATTGTATATGTTTATTGTATAATTGATTCGGTTAGCGCTAGGAATGCTTAATCCATTATTTCAAGGAAAAGCCAATTACAATTATATAAATGCCAATTCCAAAAATCATTAAGTTCTGCCATTAAGTGGATCATTTTTTTTTAAAGTTGAGTCAGTTTGGTTTTGATTTATTACAAAATTATATATTGTTCTAAAATGTTTAAAGTGACATAACGAAATTTAATTTTTTGTGGGTTAAGTTTGCTACGCGCTACAATTATAAAAACCGTCCACAAGCAAACTAATTAAACAATTTAACATTTTTTACTCATTTTACATTTCATAAAATATATTACACTTCTTGAAAATATAATTTTCAAATTTTTGTCTACAAATTAATTAAAACAATCGATGTTAAAAATTGATTGAATCTTTATTGAATTTCGTACAACTTTTGTTAAATAGTTCTGTTAGATGTATACTTATTATCAACTCAATTTTGCCAACTTCACGTTTGGTTAAGAATTTAACTTTACCTTGGAAACTTATTACTATGACTTTGTAGTTGCGCCTTATTTTGGATTAATGTACATAATGCGGCAGTCTTCTGAAGTTTGGAGTTTAAGTATTGTTTGATGTTACTATCGTAGTTATGTCGTACGGCCTGGGTGGTAAATAGAAAATGTCGCTTTAGACAAAATTCAACACAAAGCCGCTATACTTTTATAGTTGAAGACAGACCATTAAATACCTACACAAGCGGTGACGCATATGATGCTTTTTACTGTTTAGATTATCTCGTTGATACAAAACGTTCATACCAGTTTTGTGCAATGTTTGAGCGGTTCGCCGAACAAAGACCAACTAGAAGTCGGTGACTTTATCATATTCATAATATTTTTGTACGTAAACTTGACATAATTTTATGCGTTTTGCTTTAATGCAATTCAACGACTTCGCGGTTAATTTACTAAATAAATGGTTTAACAAAATAAATATATCTTCCTCTGGTTTGAGTAATATTAAAATGAAGTGCTTCGGCCTGCGGGGGAAAAAAGATCAATGTCAATTTTTTAACATTCTGAGAAAATCATGTTTTTAATTTCAAAACGTAATACATTTTGCCTGTATGCCTAAACTTCTGGCGGTCGTTACTCTCGTCTAATCTATTTTTTTTCCTGGTTCGAGCGCATAAAAGATACAGTACATCAATACAAATAATTTGATACCAAAATCTCGTTTTCAAAAAAAAT